CAAATTTGGCTATTTTTTAACGATGCGAATGATGATTGCAATATTAATGTCATCATGTTTGATGGCATTATCGGTGACAACAACAAATCTTGCTGGTTCACTTGTTTGTATGGTTGCAAAAGATGATGAAAATTCGGCTAATTTACAAATTACACGGTAATTTTAATTCTTTTTTCTCCTAATTTAACAGATAGTTTTTAGAATTTTTACAATTCATAAGGAAATTTCAAGTTTATTAAATTTCTTTTTATTTTACTTTAATTTTTGATTAAATTGTTTATCTTTTTTTCTTTTGATTATTTAAATAAATCCATTTTTTTTTTCGTTAATTTTGTTTAATTTGTAATTTTATTTTAAATTAAAGCAAAATATTTCCTTGTTTATTCTGTTCTTATAATTATTTGCTATTTGTTTATTAATAATTTATTAATTTTTGTTTAATTGTTAGCACAATAATTTTCTTTCGTTTGTTTTTATAATACAGAAAACCAAAAAAATCCTATTACAATAAATTCTTTGATACAAAAATATTTTTAAAATTAATTTTTTATAGATCGAAAAAGAAAACGAAAATAATTTTAAATTTAAATTATTGAATTATTCAATGATACGTAATATGTAATATAAACGATAACATAAAATTTAAAAAAAAAAAAAAAAAAAAACTAAAATTGGATTGATTTTTCACATTTATTTTCTCAATTATTTTACCAATCCTTTTTTTTTTTACTTTCAAAAAAAAAGCAAAAAAAAAACTTGTCTATTGATTTGAAACAGGAATTTAATTAATCAGCTAACGATATTGATTTGAAACAGGTATTGAATTAATCAGCTAACGATATTGATTTGAAACAGGTATTTAATTAATCAATTAACGATATTGATTGATTACATTGAGAAAAAAAAATTCTAATTTAGCTAAACTAATTGGACAAATGTTCGAATAAAGTACATTTACATCATTTCCCTTTTTTTTTTTCCCATTGCAATTTTTTCGTTTCGTTTTTTTTTTTCATTTTTATTTAAATTGTAAATATTTCAACAAAATGAAAAACCAGTTATAAAAGATATGAAAATATACAATATGAATTAGATGAATGATTTGGATAGGATTAACATAAAAGGGGGAATGAATGATAAACAAGATTGATAAGAATCATTTGTAGTTTTTAAAAAAAAAAAAAAAACTTTTTTTTCTTTACAAAAAAACAATTAAGTTAAAGAAACTATTAAATTTTTTAAAAAAAAAAATCCATTGAAATGTGAGAGAAATGGGGAAATGTTTTTTTTTTTTGTTAGCTTTAAATAAATCAATTTTAGCAAAATTTTTATTTTTTTTTTTGCGATTTTAATATATTTGAAAGATTAAAAGTTGAAAATTTTTTTTAAATAATTTAAAAAAAGGAAATGGAAATAATTTATGCTAATTTATGATTTGGAAAAGTAATATAAAGCAAAAAAAAAATAAAACAATTAAACTTCCGATTGACATAATGTAACATTTACTCTTACCTCATTATAATCGAAAAGTTTAAATTAAAAATTGATAAATTGAGACCAAAAATCGATAGACTGAAATTGTAAATCAATGGATTAAAATTAATAATTGAGAGATTGAAATTAGACCATTTAGATCAAACTGTACCTTGATATTTAAAATACTTATCCTATTTAAAAGGGAAATATTTCTAAAATAATAAATTGTCAATTGAATGAAATAAAAAAATTATTGAAAAAAAAAGAAATAAAAAATTTAATTTATAATTTTTTAAATACAAAAGAAAAAATTATTGAATAAAATTATCGAAAATTTAAAAATTAAAAAAAAATTATCAAAAAATTTTAAATCAATGTTAATTATTTATTCAGATTTCAAAATGATATGAAAGAAGGAATAAATGGTTCGGAACGTATTACTTCACAACCATGCTTACCTAATGTAGCATCAGAAATTGAAATGAAAATGTTAATTAATGATAAATCATATTCACGATTAAATACTAATGATAATCAAGATTACATTGAGATACGGTCTTGTCATGTTGATGAACGATTAAATTGGACAATGCTTGAACAAGGTATTTAAATTTATTTGCCTAATTAACATTTATCATTAATTTTATCATTTTTATTAAAATAAATTAATCAATCAGTCATTAACATAATACATTGCTTAAAAAAAAAATAAAGATAAAACATAAATCATCATTTAAATAATTATTAAAATTATAATTTCAAAAAAAAAAGCATTTTAGGTATGGTATTATGTGCGCAAAATATTGGTTCCCTTTTTATGCTAATAATTGGTCCACAAGCGGATCGTTTAAATGGCAAATGGACAGTTGCTGTCGCGCTATTTGTCACCATTATTAGTAATATGATGTTACCAATTTTTGCTGCAAAACATTTCATTTTTGCAATTATTGCACGAATTCTTTGTGGTATAGCTGATGCTTTTCTTACACCATCTATTAGTTCAATGATTGTCCGATGGTTTCCACCAAAGGAGCGGTCATTTGCTATTGGATTTATTACTGGTGGTCGACAAATTGGTTCCAATTTTTATTTTTGCTATTTTTTTTTAATTTTTTAAATCTTTACTATCGAACAAAGCGTATGAGATATCACAGGAATCGTGGCATTTTACGGAAATAACATTCCTCTCTCCGGCTAAACCGATTCTAGGGAGTTCCGTTCCTTAACCAGAAAAGAGTACTCTGGCTTAGACTTTCCTCAATGTTTCCGAATTCATTTACGTTATTTGCGCTAAATTCTCACGATAAGCATTTATCATCATTTTCCAGGTACGGGAATAATAACCCATTTCCTTTTTGATTTATTCAGATGGATTTACATCTCAATTCCTAATTAATAATTTGAATATTATTAATTGATTAGCAAATTAATTAGTTTTAGTTAATTGTTTTCACTTTTTTTTTCATTCATGCATTACTAAAATTTCAGGTATTTTAAATGAATTTTTAAATTAATAATTACAATATCATTATCATTAAATTGTGTAAAAACATAATCAACATTAATTATCAATATTACTAATTTAACGACACATTAGTTGACTGATTCAATTAATTAAATTTGGCTTTAATTAATCATTTTTCTTCCGTTTCCTTTTTTTTTTTTTTGTTTCTTTCACTGTATTGAATTTACTGAAACAAAAAAAAAGATAAAAAAAAGGAAAAAAAAGAACAAAGAAATGAAATGAAAATTTTCAAAAATGAGAATTGTGAAAAATAATGAAGAAAGTTAAAAAGTAATTTATATTATAATTGTCATCTTTGGATAGTTTTTTTTTCTTCTTTTTAACAATTAAAAAATTTATTTTTATCTATGTAATTAAAAAATTAAAATTTTAATTAAAATAAGAAATTAGAATAAATTTATTTTTCAGGAAGTTTGCTAATTTTACCAATATCCGGATGGGTTTGTCTGAAAAAGGATACATTTGGTAGTTGGAAATTTACATTTTATATATCAGCAATAATTGCTACACTTATGCTATTTGTTTGGCTAATTATGTCAGCTGATAAGCCATCAAAGCATTATTGTGTGAAAAAAGAGGAAAAGATGTATATTTTAAGGAAAATTAGTGAGGAATCATTAGGAAAGGTAATTTTTATTTTATTATTTTTTTTTTAATTTATTTAAATAAAAATAAAACATTTTAAATTGGAAATTTTGATTCTTTTCTTTTTTTTTTTGGAATAATTCATAACGATAAAACAATGATTTACTTATTTAATATATTTCAATTTAATTCATTAATTTTATTTTAATTTTATTATTTACAATTAAATATTGCTATTTAAATTAAAACAAATCAAAATAACATAATTAAATATAACTGTTTAAACATATTACTATTTTAAATTTTAACGAAAAGAAACAATTAAATATTACCATTTTAAATTTTAACAAATGAAATCATTGATAATAAAGGCTTTTTTCTAATATTAATATTTAATTGTTTAGAAATTATTAATAAATTAAAAATAATTTTATAAGTATTACATTCATTCATTACTGTTTCATTTTCAATTTTTCGTTTTCTTTTTCTTTTTCCTAATTAATTAATTCCTAAATAAAATTTGTCACTATTAACTTTAAAAGAAAAATAAAATCAAAATTAATTCTTTGTTCTTTTTATTTTTATTTTTTTTTATAGAGGAAAGAACGAAGAAATACGCCATGGAAACAATTATTAATATCTCGTCCATTTATTGCTGGAATATTAGCTGTTGTTTGTCAAGAATATCCGCTTGTTATTACTACAACAGTAAGTGAAAATTAATTAATTATAATTAAAATCTAACTTAATTACAAAGTATAGTATATTTGTGAGCAAAAAAAAAAATGAATTTATTAAATTAAATTAATTAATAAAAGCATAAATTTATTAAAAATGTAAAAATTTTGACAATTTTTTATTTTTAATAAATTTTTTAAGTAATAAAAAAGAAAGTTATTAATTTTTTTTTTTGGTAATATTAAATTAATTATTTGTGATAATTTTTAGCTACTACCAATTTATATGAAAGAAGTACTTCATCTATCGGATGTTCGTAGTACATTATATTCGGCATTACCGTTATTAGCATTATGGATGAGTAAAAATCTTTCATCATCATTATCATCCTATTTGAGTGCTCGAAAAAAAGGATGTCGTCTAGTTGATAGGACAATTCTTGTCAAATCATTTAATGGTATCGGTTCAGCTGGTCTTGCTATTGGTCTTTTTATGATACCATTACTAACACATAGTGTTCCAGCTTTGATCGTTGTTTGTGCTGCAAATGCATTTGCTGGTAATTATTATTATCATCATTATTACTTATTATTATTATCATTATTATTATTATTA